CCAGGTTTGCAGAAGTCTATTGAACATTGTAGGGCTTAGCTCACCACTTCATTGCTGTTTTTCCCTCACTTCCCATCAGAAGACTTTCTTAAAGACTACTTCGGTCATGCTATCTTTCCTGCTCCAAAGCCCTTGATTATTTCCCCCAATCAGAATCCATTGTACTAATACAAACTCAATCCTCACGACTTCTAAACCCTTTCCATGGCATCCCAATGGGGTTAATTTTTCCCTTCCTCTACACTCATCCAGCTCATCCCCACCCCTCCCACCCATGTAGGCAAGTTGTTCCACTTGCTAGAAATGCCCTCCTCCTTTCTCTCTGCATGTCAAAATCGCACCCACTACTAAAGGACCAATACAACTCCTCCCAGGTCAGCTTCTCCAGGGTGCTCGCTTCTTGCTCTCTTTCTTCTTAATGTAGTATCCATATGGTGCTGTTTAGTTTCTTATCACCTCTCCTTGGATTTTTTTTTTTTTTTTTTTGTCTCAATTGTGTTTGTCTTATTTGCCCATAAAATTGCATAGACCCTTCTCCTCAAGCTCTAGATGTTACAAGATCTGGACAGAACTGTGATAATTCAGAGAAAAAAAGACTGGTCACTTCTAGTTAGGAGTATCAAGGGAGGCTTCACCAAAAAGATAACTTAAGAACTGAAAGATAGAGTTTGACTGTGGGCATTCCAGGCATATGTAACATGTTTAAATGTAGAGACAGAGATGGGAGATTTGACATACATACAGCAAATGGTGACTAGTTCCGCTTGCCTGCAGTGTAGAAAGTATAAAGGGAATTATCGTGAAATAAGGTTCAATGGTTCCTGACCAATAGTGGTGCCCATCCCGAGGGGACATTTGGAAAATATGGGGGAATGGGGTCGGGGAGTTGGATTGCCACAATGACTAGAGACTAGGGACACTAAGCTTCCTATAATAACAGAAAAATCCTACTCCATGAATTGCCCCATCCAAAATATCAGTAGCATCTACACTGAGCATCTTGAATGTCAACCCAAGAACTTTACTCAATACATGGGGAAAATCCTAAAAGTACTTCCTTCACCTGGAAGAGGTATCAAGTAGCTTGGACTATTGTTCAATAATTTACTCTCTACCTCTCAGTTCCATGGAAGGAGTATACTTTATGCTCCAGTGATGTTAGCCTTATGACTTGCTGCAATGGGAAGTTAACAGACACAGTGGAGCAGAGGTCAACAAAGTGCTATGCAATTGGATTCCCTCCTTTGCACCACCACCATTGCCATGGAAAGAAAATGCTCTGGCTAGCCTGATGATCCAAGATCATCACAACCAAACATAGATCATTCAACCTTTAACCAAACCCCAAATGTGTAATAAGCTAAGCCAAGATCATTAAAGCCATTCCTTTGAGTTCAGCCAAGAATGACTGACCCTCAGCAGATTGTTGAGAATAAATCATTCTTTTCAGGCACTGAATTTCAGGATAGTTTGTTATTCAACATCATTGTATCCATAATTAAATAAGTTAAGGTGTGTGCATAAGCTAGCCATATGCCTCCTCCTCTTCTGCATCTGCTGGTATCAGTGTCCCAATACTTAACAATCCAGAATGCTCCTTTCTCATGTGCTAAGATAACACAGAGGCTTACCCATCCTAGGGTTCAAATCTTACCTACTTCTGCCTCCTCATTGACCTGGATCCTGAACTCTGGCTCCTTGGTCTCTTGGATCACCACACGCACATCCTGCAGCATCTGTCTGGTTCCATCTTCTCCTTGCATCTCATATACAAGAGATGGAGTTCCCATTCCCTCCAGTTCTTTCCTGTTGAAATTCTGCATGCCCACAGACATGATTTTCACACCTTTCTCCCTCAGTACCTGTGCTGCCTCCAAGATCTCATCCTCAGACTTGCCCGAAGTAATGACCACTGCATACTGGGGAATTCCCTGGAGAAACCGGCTTCCTGCTTTCTCTTGGAAGAAGGTCTGAAGAAGGTACCTGAGAGCCTTTCCTGTTCTCCTAGAGCCACCCTGGAGCTTAAACTGCTTCTGGATGTGAGTAGTTATTTCCTTCTGTGTCTGGTAGGTGTTGAACAAAAATTCAGTGTGACCTTGATCACCATATTGAGCCAGACCAATCTGGTATTTGTCTCTGCCAACCTCCAACATGCCAACCACTCCCAAGATGAAATTCTTCATCCGCTGGAAACTAGACCATGATGTGTTCTGAGAGGTGTCAGCAAGAAAGACCACATCTGCATAAGCCTGGTTGAATTCTGGAAGAAAAAAGGGAAAGGAAAGGACACGAAGGACAAAGTAAATCGAGCTTTCATGAAAACTGAATACAAAGTGATAATGGTGGCACAACATGAAACTGTCATCAATGTCATTGAAGTGTAAATGTGGAAGTTGTGTTGATGAATGTTTTGGTGAATATGTTTTCAACCATCATAACAACAACAAAAACTGGATACAGAGGTCTTCAAAAATTTGTGGGAAAATGGAATTTTTCCATTTCCTTTTTGAAGCCCTCTCCTACAAGGGTACTTTGTATGGGAATGTAGACTGCCAAAATGGAACAGCAACAGTCAAGCTTTAGCCTTATTTACCAAAATCACTGTGTTGCTCTTTTTTAAAAACTTTTGATTGTGAATTGAGTGATAGTTTACATGGGAGAACATCGGTAGTGGTTTTGCACTCATCCTGTTTTACTATTGAGTAAAATTGCAATGATTACAATCCCCTCTATGCGTCATTATTTAACAGTATTTGCTTATATTCCCTTTGGGTGTTTTTTTTGTTTGTTTGTTTGTTTGTTTGTTTGTTTATGTACACAAAACACTCAGGAACATATAACCATTTAAACAACCAAAGGGCATATTCTGCAAGCCAGTCTCCTGGCTGTGAGCACACAGCCTTTCTCTTTACATGAGTCTAGAATCCTCAGTTGCTCTATCTCTCCATGCCATCACCTCTGCCTCCATCTCTGGTGTCGCTTTTTCTCTGGTTAGGGTCTCACTTTCCACTTATGCTCTTCTTGATGGTCCTAGGGTCCTCTGTTCCTGGAACATAAGCTTAACTACTCCCCCCTTTATGTTACAAAGTTTCTACCTTTACAGTTGTGACTGTCGCAATTAGTAATGATAACAGTTACTCACTATTGAATCAAAAGAATCCTATCCCCATCTCCTTTCACCAGACCTATCTAGACAAGATGAAAACTATTCAGTGGGGATTCTACCTTCCCCTGCACAATCTCAAACTAAACTTCCTCTTGAAAACTTGTAAGTCAGCCACTACATGCCTTTATAGCCCTCCCCCTTTCCCCCCCACCTCTTTTAGGTAGCCAATGTCTAAGTTGCCAGTCCCTAGAAAACCTGTATACAGAGGGGACAGGCTTGATCCTTGTTGCTCTTTTTGAGCTAATATATGAGGGAAATACCAACAAACAAACTAGGGTATCCAGAAGTGTGTGGGATTTCATAGCACTTAGTACCTCACCAGATTTACAGCATATTCCATGTTATAAATGGAAAATTCCTGTCACCTCTTTGGCTCCCCTGACTCCGAGCTACCTTGTTGTTTGTACTTGTATCCCTATGGTTTAGGTCTAGGCCTAGTATACAGTAAGTATTAAAAAAATGTGTGAAGAACTCAATTGATTGTTACCAAAACATGGACAGACAGAAAGGAAAAAACTAATATCTAGTCAAGTCCTGAGTCAGATGCATGCATAGTCACACTGCTTATGCACATCCATAGTTCTTAGCATCATCTTATTAAAGATACCAAAGTCAGTGAAAGTCAATATTTCCAAAGTATGGATCATGAGTAATATAGGAGATTATTTTACATAGTATGGCATTAAATAATGTTGATTCACATGGTGAGAAAGTTGCTACCTTTTTAAGTCTCTTTTCACCAGTCAAATAAAATCCAGGGGAGAAAAATTCTAACTTGGTTTAGAATGTCTTTATCATCTCATTATCCATTTGTTGGTTGGTTACTTTGGACGTGTCATCATGAAAGACCAACCGCTGGAAAAGGACATAATGCTTGGAAAAGCAGAAGGCAAGTGTAAACAAGGGATACATTCAATGAAGTGGACTGACACAATAGTCTCAACAATGGATTCAAGCATACCAGTTATCATGAAAATGGTACAGACTGGGCAATGTTTTGTTCTGTTACACATAAGATTATCATAAGTCAGAGCTAAATCAACAATAATCATTTGCCAATCTCCCTTTTCCCAAAAAAAGAAATGGCCGATGTTCAACAATTTTAAGATGTAGCATATAATCAAGAACAGGTGGTACTGAAGGAAGAAAACCCAAGCTACACTGAAGGCATTGGCAAAAACCAAAGATTTTGGAATTGATGGAATACAAATAGAAATTTTTCAATAAATGGATATGCTTACTCACCTATGCTAAGAAATTTGGAAGATAGTATCTGGTCAAACACTTGAAAGAGATTCATATTTGCGTCATTCCAAAGAGAGGTGACTCAACAGAATGTGGAAATCATTGAACAATATCATTATCACATGCAAGTAAAAGTTTGTTGAAGATAATTTAAAAATGGTTGCATCGGTACATTGACAGGGAACTTCCAGAAATCCAAACTGGATTCAGAAAACGAGAATGGGGAATATTATTTCTGATGTCCAATGGATCTTGGCTGAAAGTAGAGAATACCAGAAAGATGCTTACTTGTGCCTTACTGACTTAGCAAAAGTTTTGACAGTGTGGATCATGACAAACTATGGATAACATTGCAAAGAATATGTATTCCAGAACACTTAACTGTGCTCATAAGGAACCTGTACATAGAACAGAACTTGATAGACAAGAAAAAGAGGATACTTGATGGTATAAAATCAGGTAAGATGTGTGTCAGGTTTCTATCCTTTCACCATACTTAGTCTGTATGAGGGACAAATTATCTGATATATTGGATTATATGAAGATGAACATGGCATCAGGATTGGAGGAAAATTCATTAACAACCTGTAATATATAGATGACACAACCTTGCTTGCAGGAAGCAAAAATGACTTAAAATACTTACTGATGAAGATCAAAATCAGAGTCTTCAGTATGGGTTACACCTCAATTCAAAGAAAACAAAAATCCTCACAAGTGGACCAATAAATAACATCATAATAAATGGAGAAAAGATTGAAATTGAAATTGTCAAATACTTTATTACGTGTGGATCTACTATCAACAATAATGGAGGCAGCATTCAAGAAATCAAATAATGTGTTGCATTAAGCAAATGTGCTGTAAAAGTCTTCTTTAAAGAGTTCAAGAGCAAAGATCAATTTCAGGACAAAGGTGGGCCTGACCTAAGTCATGATATTTTCATCAACTCATATGAATGTGAAAGTTAGACAATGAATAAGGAAGACTGTAGAAGACCTGATGCATTTGAATTATGGTGTTAGAGAAAAAAAAATTTTTTTTTTTTAAGTACCATGGACTGCCAGAAAACCAATCAGGTCTGTGTTGGAAGAAATACAGCAAGAGTGTTCCTTAGCAGCGAGAACGATGAAACTTCGTTTCTCAAATTTCAGACACATTATCAGGAGGGACCAGTCCCTGGAGAAGGACACCATGCTTGATGAAAAGGAGAGTCCGCGAAAAAGAGGAAGACCCCAGAGAGATGGATTAGCACCGTGGTAGCAGCAATGGGCTCAAATGTAACAATTATGAGGATAGCACAGGACTGGGCAGTGTTTCATTCTGTTGTGCATAGGGTTTCTAGGAGTCGTAACCAATTCGATAGCACCCAACAAGAACAATACTGTCCCTCTTAAATAATTTTAAAAAGTTCATATTCTTCTGCAGAATGGTGTATCTAGCTAGAACTTTTAATTTTACTCTTTTACTGTTAAACTTTATGGTTTGTAAATCAGTCAGAGTCCAATCTGGTAAATAGAAACTACTAAGTGTTTTTTAAAGGGAGAATTTCATGCGGGGAATTGGTTGCACTGATATTGGGGGAGGCAATAAGCAAAACAAAAGCAACAATCAAGGGTTAACAAAAATAAGAAACGGTCATCCTGGCTGGAGCGACAAAAGGGAGAGATGATGTAACTGGAGTCCAGGGGAATGAAGTCAGTAGAAATTAGATCCATGGTGGGCATGTGCCTAACAGAATGTTGGGCCACTAAGGAGGCATAGCTACTGCCAGAGACTGTCAGGCAGAGAACAGAAAGAAACACCCTGAGTTCTCTCTTCGTACCACCTGCCAGTGATTCCCACTGGCTAAAAGCATTTCATATACAAGCCTGAATAGTACAGCTTATAGGAGGCATCATCCTCAGTGATACAAAACAGAGCAGAAGGGCAAAGAATATCACTGAGGGTAACCAAACCCAGTACCAAGTGATCTCCTTATAATATGAAAGTATTTTTTGTTTTGTTTCATCTTGTAGTAGTGAGATTTGAAAATAAATATAAGTAAAATAAGAGAATCAATGTAAAGGAGAATATTACATGAAGAGATGTAAGAAGACTTTGCCTGGGTAGAACGCTGGGCTTTATCACAGCCTCTTACCTTTAATCTTACCCTCCACTGCTGAACACAGAGTCTGAAGAATGCTTCCTGAGAGCTCCTGCAGGATGTGGAAGTTTTCGATGTTGAAGAGAAACTTCTCAAATGGCTCACTGGCTATTTTTTGCAACTCTTGGACATCCTGAACATTAATTCCTACCACATACATAACAACTCCATCTTCTTTCAACCTGTCAGCGATCTCCTGGACTTCATCACTTGATTCCCCATCTGTTACCAGGATAACTATCTGAGGAACCCTGTTCTGGGCCCGGCTGCCAGCTGCCTCAGTCAAGTAGTTGGTCCTTATGAACTCCAGGGCGTTTCCCGTGTTTGTGCCTCCTGTGCGGTAGGGTAGGTTCTGGATCTGCTCCAGGACTACGCTCTTCCGAGGGTACTGATTCAGCTGAAAGGCTGGGTAGATGTTGTCATTATACTGAACAAGTCCTACCCGGACTTGGTCACTACCGATGTCAAGCCCCAAGACAACAGAGTAAAGGAAGTCCTTCACTATCTGGAAGTTTGGGGGTCCAATGCTGGTCGAGCTGTCCACTAGGAACACAATGTCCAGCAGGGATGCTTCTCTGCAAGCTGTAGGATGTGGAAGAAAGGGATAGCATCAGTGGGCTTTCACTCAAAATGCTTAGAACCAATGGAGTCAAATGGTGTACAGAAAGGATGAGCAAGACCAGACAGCCTGTACTCAATGGTCCAAGACATTACCCTCAAATGACAGTGTGTTTTGGAAAGTGCTATCTATCTCCCTTCCCTTGTCTAGTCTATCCTCTGTTTCATCGTCTTCTGAAGCTTTGTCTTGTTCTACTGACACTTACAACCTTGAAATCCATTTGGGCAATTCTTTGAATCTCACCAAGAAGAAAAACATGTCTGTAAATAAAGCAACATGCTCAGAAAATAACTGTCCTTTTCCCAGGGGAAATATGTGATCAGCCTCCTACCTTTTGACAAAGAAACCTCATCTGTAGAATATGTTGAAAATATTTGAGCAGAAAACTGTAGTGTATCCCATATGCCATGATAGCTCTCATTGTAGCTCTATCACACAGTAGCCTTGCGACCATGGGACCACTCACCTCTTTGAGACAGTTTTATGCCCTGCAACACTGAAATCTTTATACCAATCCTCATACAGCCACAGGATTGTTGTACAAATCAAATAAAATCATCGACTGTAGCACACAATATCAGGGTTCTGTCCAGGCCCCATAGGATTCTCTGTTACTGTTTCTTAACATTGTTCTTTGGAGGTCTGCCCTCCATCTACTGGAGCTGCTTTGCCTGCAATACACGAATCACTGGACCACATGGTTGGTTTGAACAACAATGTTGGAGGTATAAACTCACCAGCCACTCCTCAGAACCCTATACAGGGTCCCTATGAGTCGGAACTGACTCAGCGGAACTTAGCAACACCAATAGCTCCTTACTTTGAATCAAGACAACTCTAAAGTATAACTGAGTTCCCCTTCAGCATCAGGCTAAAACAACCCACTGTGAAACTTCTCCCTGAGATCACACCCTTACTTACATTCCTTTACTTCTCTGTCCTGCATCCCCTACATCCTTACCAACTTCTACCTTAATACATGGTTGTTGTTAAGTGTCATCAAGTTGGTTCCTACTCATAGTGACCCTTAATAGAGTTTCCAAAGAACAGCTGATGGGTTTGAATTGCCGACCTTGTGTTTAAAAATCCAGTGCTGATCCTACAGTGCCACACCAGGAGTCCTTAATACATACGTGTATCCAAATCCTTGTCACAGGCTCTACCTCTGGGAAACACAACCAAAGACAGCAGCGGTAGTAGAAGAGGCCTACACTAAAGGACTCGGTAGAGATTGAGTACAAACTCCGCCATCCACTTTGAGGTGTCACTCCAGTTTCCTCATTGGAAAAAATGGAAATACTAATATTAATTTCCCTATGAAAATTAAATTCAAATGCTCTCGTGTGACGCTGTCGGGTACACACTGGACTGCTAACATTAGAATAGCAGTTCAAACTCACCAGCCGCTCCTTGGAAACCCTATACAGGGTCACTCTGAATCGGAACCAATTAGACAGACCTTAACAAGGACAAGAAGAAGACAACACCTAGATCGACAACTTCTTCCTAAGATCTCTGGACCTGACCTAAAACTGCCTGTGTACCTGCTGTAAAACATAAACCTTTTTAGTCTTGGGAACTGCTATATTTTATCATCTAGAACTTCTAAAACAAGTTGTTAAATGAGAGCCTTAACCTCTTTGTAGGGAGCATGGTGGTTCTGTAGAATATGTGCTAGACTTTGAACTACGAGATCAGTGGTTCAAGCCCACCAGCCATTCTGTGGGAGAAAGATGAGATTTTCTGCTCCTACACAGATTTATAGTCTCAGAAACCCTACACAGAGTCACTATGAGTTGGAACTGACTCAACAGCACTTAACAACAACAATCCCTTTTTAAAATTTTATAATAAGCAATCATAATTTTTTGTTGTGGTGTTTTTTGTTTTTTGGTGTGTTTTTTTTTTGGTGGTTTTAATTATTTAACTTGTCTGTAATCTGTAGTGTCACCTTTGGAGTCCTGGTGTGACTCTGTGGGTTAATGCGCCAGACTGCAAAGCCGTTTGAACTGCAAGATCAGCAGTTCAAGCTCACCAGTCACTCCTCGGAAACCCCATACAGGGTTGCTATGGGTCCTAACCGACTCGATGACACTTAACAACAACAACAAGTGTCACCTTTTAATAATTATATGCATTTTTGTCTAGTTTAAATGTATAACTTGTATGGGAGCTTTCAAATTAATAGCTCTTTGATTTCCTTGCTTTTGAAATAGCTTTTGTTCAAAACATTTTTTGTTCTATAAACTTCTAGAATGATCAAAAAGAAATTAAACTTACAGATACTAGGTACTGTTTTCTGACCACCCTGATCCTTTCCTTTACTGTTAGTAAACTTCAACTATGGGATATCATTCCTTGTTTTAATATATTATTCCTCTCCCTTTGAACCCAAGTCACTTTATGCAAATACTACTTTTAGAAAATAGTTAAAATTGTTTTGACCCTCCTGGGAATTTAAATTCATATTAGCTCTCTTGTTACAAGTTATTTTTTTAACTGTTTTTTTTGTATTTTTGTAATCGTTTCCACCATTTATATTCTATTAACCCCTTGCTGCTAATGCTTGTTGTTATTGCTAAGTGTCATCAAATCAGTTCTGACTCAGTTTGAACCACCAACCTTTCAGTTCAAACTGATCTTAAAGTCAAGTGCTTATCCTATGGTGTCACACCATGACTGTTAGTCATAGAGTAATTTAATAAGACACATAAGTTTTTGAAATAACATTATATCTTCTATCATTAGTATTCTAATTATATTTGTCCTCTATTGGTTAGTAACCTTTCTATCCTCCTTTATGCTCTTCCTGATGGAAGTTTATTTTATTATAGCAGTTAATTGTCTGCTAGTTGTTACTGCTATGTTACGTGCCATCAAGTCAGTTCTGACTCACAGCTACCCTGTACAAGATTTCCAAGGAACAGCTGGTAGATAGCCCTTGTTTATTTCTTTTGGGCTGTGTTCTCCCACTATGAAGCCCCCTTAAACTTTCTGCTCATACTGCTGCTCATTGAAACCCCTATTACTTCCTGGCATGAAAATTCATTTGATAGACTAGCTCAAGCAGTCTCTGGGACCACCAGTCTTGCCAACTGTTGGATGTGCCAAATGGTCCTTCAGAGCGTCCACTAGAACTCAGAAATGGTGGCAGTCCTAATTATTAGTTATTCCTATATATCTTGTGGTGATTAAGAAAACCATTTTAGTTAAGAAAGTATTTCAACTAAAACTATGGTACCCCCCCCCCTTACTTATCATGGAAGTCAAAGATATCTTGTTTTAAGTTAACATAGATCGAGGAAGAGGCTATGGATAATTTTATCTATATAAGAAACATCTTATTATGAAAAATATCTTTACTAATTCTCAAGTTCAGCCAGGCAGGTTTGGGGACTTTGCTATCTAATTATATTTGTCATGAAAAATGAAAGCCTGCCTAAGTGGATTGCCTCTCCTCTGAATTCCACTTTAGACAGGACAATTATCCATCTGTAGCAATTCTCTAATAGAAACCTGGCTGAACAATCCATCCCATTTCCTTAAAACTGACTATACTGGTAAGAAAATGCTTTGTTCTCCTTTTGGTTGAATCTTCTTGTGTAAAGGACAGGGGTCCCCTACAGGAAAGAAGCCTTTTCTCTTCTTGACTCTTATGCTTAGGCTTTACCTTGTCTAGGCAGTTGGAACTTGGTCAACATATACTTGGCCACATTGGAAATGCTTTCGACATTAATACATATGATGAAAGCCCTCATTGTACTGATAGATTAGGCTTAGAATTATTAGAGAGTGAGAATGAAAAGAGGTTTAGATTATGGGTATAATCCTATCAAAGATCTTCTCAGGGCTGAGTTCTCATTTGTAAGAGCTTGTGTACCATGGTAGGGAGTTGCTGATTAAGAACATGCTATTGAAACCTCTTAGACATAATGGAATAATAACTGATGATGTGACTGATGTCATGGCTATGCATGAAAAGTCACAAAATTTATTAGCAATAGTGGTAAATGAAAGTAGAATCATTTTAGACTTTCTTCTTGCCCGTAAGATGGTATCTACACCATTATAAATACCTCTTGCTGTACCTGGATAAATACTTCTGGGAAAGTTGAACAAGACATGTATAAAATTCACCAAAAGGCTACCTGATTACATGGACCCCCAAAAGGAATACTGGAACTCCTTTCATGGTGTATTTAACTGTTTGCCTAAAGAAACAGGTTCCTAGATAGGATCTATATTTTAATGTTGCCAATTTTAAATACAACTTTATTGAAGACATTGCATTTTCCACTTACAATACAGTGCTAATAAAGTGCAGTGTTACGTTCTTTCCCTATTCATATCACTCCATGTTCAAGTATTGAGAATGCCCAGCAATTTAGCATAGGAAGTTCTAATGTGTGAAACTGCTATTGAATGTGCTACAAATTTGGGTTCTTCAGTGTTTTACTATGAAACAATGCTAAGGTATCTAAGCTCAAGATACTGGCTTAATCAGCCTCTTCAGTGGTGGGTCCAGAAGAGGCGCCACCAGGTGGAGGAGTTCTGCCACCAGGGAAGCCCCCAGACATTCCTCCAGTCATGCCTCCGGCACTCTGGTACATCTTGGTAATGATGGGGTGGCAGACTTTCTCCAGCTCTTTCTGCTGATATTCAAATTCATTTTTCTCTGCAGTCTAATTCTTATCAAGCCAGTTGATAATTTCATTACATTTATCAAGAATCTTCTGTTTGTCCTCATCATTGCTCTTGCCTTGAAGCTTTTCATCAACTGTTGCTTTCGTGTTAAATGCGTAGGATTCAAGTGAATTTTTAGAGAACACTTTGTACCTCTGTTTTTCATCTTCAGCTTTGTACTTCTCAGCTTCTTGAACCATACATTCAATGTCGTCTTTACTCAAACAGCCCTTGTCATTAGTGATGGTAATCTTGTTCTCTTATCCACAGTAGAAACATTGAGGATACCATTGGCATCAATATTGAAAGTGACTTCAATCTGAGGAACATCACAGGATGCAAGAGGTATGTTAGTGAGTTTTCCAATTTTCCAAGCAGGTTTTTATCCTTGGTCATGGCATGTTCCCCTTCACAAACCTGAATGAGTACCCCACGCTGGTTGTCAGAGTAGATTGTGAAGGTCTGTGTCTGCTTGGTAGGAATGGTAGTATTGTGCTTGATGAGTACAGTCATGACTTCATCAGCAGTTTCAATACCAAGAGAAAGAGGAATGACCTCCAAGAGCAGCAAATCTTGAACATTTTCATACTTGTCTCCAGATAATATGGCTGCCTGGACCAGAAGCAACAGCGTCGTCAGCACTGATACTCTTGTTCAATTCTTTGCCATTGAAGAGATCCTGAAGAAGTTTCTAAATCTTGGGACTACGGGTAAAACCAGCAACCAGGACAATGTCATGGGTCCCTCATTTGTCTAGCTTGGCATCCCTAAGGGCTTTCTCCACGGGTTCCAGGGTGCCACCGAACAGGTCAGCATTCAGTTCTTCAAATTGGGCACAGGTAATGGAGGTACAGAAGTCAATACCTTCATACAGAGAATCAATCTCAATCCTGGCCCGGGTGCTAGAAGATAGAGTGTGCTTTGTTCATTCACAAGACGTTTGTAGGTAGTGGACAGTCCTCTTATTCTCACTAATGTCCTTCATATGTTTGCATTTAAACTCAGCAATGAAATGGTTGACCATTCAGTTGTCAAAGTCTTCTCTATCTAAGTGGGTGTCTCCAGCTATAGATTTGACTTCAAAGATCCCATCTTCATTAGTGAGGATTGACGCATCAAAAGTGCCTCTTCCTAAATCAAAGATCAGCACATTTCTTTCAGCACCAACCTTTTTGTCTAAGGCATCCATTGCAGTATCAGCAGCAGTTGGCTCATTGAGGCCGGCAGTAGTTTCAGCATCTTTGGTAGCCTGATGCTGACAGTAGTTAAAGTAGGCTGGGACAGTGACAACACCATTGGTAACAGTCTTTCCAAGGTAGGTGTCTGCAATTTCCTTCATCTTTGTTAGAACCACTGAGGACACTTCCTCTGGACAGAAATGTTTGGCTTCTCCCTTATATTCTACTTGGACTTGGGCCTGCCTGCATCATGAAGGGCCAATGCTTCATATCAAACTGGACAATAGTGCCATCAAATCTTCTTCCAATCAAACTTTTGGCATCAAAAACAGTGTTAGTGGGATTCTTTGCAGCATCACCAATCATTCGGTGTCAGTAACAGCTACATAGCTTGGGGTAGTTTGATTGTCATCATCACTTACAATGATCTCCATTTTTCCATGCTTAAGACACCCAAACCGGAGTAGGTGGTGCCAAAATCAATGTTTAACTGCAGGTCCCCAAGACATGATTGCTCAGTGGAAGTCCTGATTAGATAAAGAAAAGTAGACCACAGAGCTACTGCCATACAAAATGAGTGACAGGATCTACTTTGCTTAATGAAATTATGATCTTATTGGTCATTGTCATTAAAATTGGAACAATTAAATTTTGTAGGGTACCTCTGGTACCTTAACCCAAAGAAGCAACCTGATGCCCATTCGTAGGTTAATATATATGGAAACTATTAGCTTTTCCCATGAATTAGAAAAGCCCAGGGTTTAGTTTTTTTTTTTTTTTCATTTGATATAGCTTATAGGTTTCTAAGAACAAGCTACCCTGCTGTTCATACTCAGTGACAACAGTCATAGCATGATAATAAAAACTGAAGCTGTCCAATGACCAGAAAAACCTTGCAGAAGATGAGTTACTCCTTTGTGGACAACATGAGACTAGCTCATTCTGAAGATGAGAACTCCCCTATAGCATGGTAAAAATACTTAGTTGTTCCTGGTTGCTTCTATCATATGACATCTGAGGTCTTACATGTTTGATGGTTCAAGCAGCTGCTAGGGAGTGAAGCCTTTGCTGATTCTTAAGTCCATCAGAGAAAGTTCAGTGAAATCCATGATCAAGAGGAGAGAATTGTGAAAGACAATTTTTCCTAAACATTTGACTAAAGAAAAATGCCTGAAGGAAATGCATGTTTCTGCTATATTCAACAGAATTAAAGTTGAAGTTAATAATGTCTGCTTCTTAAGTTCATTATCTAGCTAGCAACCATGGGTAACTGTTGTTGTTGTTATGTGCCGTGGAGTCGGTTCCGATTCATAGCGACCTCTGTACAGGGTTTCCGAGGCTGTAAATCTTTACGGGAGTAGAAAGCCTCATTTTTCTCCTGCAGGACAGCTGGTAGTTTCAAACTGCTGACCGTGAGATGGGTAACTAGGGACATATTTTTACTGTGGTCAAATCAGAATGTGAAAGGAATGCACCCAAAGGAGAGAGCATTCTTGTAAAATGTCCTTAGGAAACATTCCTTTCGTAGTACAGCCGAATTCGTGTAAAATGGCCTTAGGAAATATTTCTTTCATGATAAGGATGTAGAAACAGTTAATCAAGAACAAGACCTTGGGTGCCAAATCTGTTTCCTAAATTCCCCAATTAATTCCAAAGATTTTGCTTGCTAAGTAAGGGGCCTTGACCTTTTTTATTGCCAGTCTGAGTACTAGGCACCTCCAAGAAATGCTTTACATTAAATTAGACATTTTTACGACCTGTTCTGGAATGTATGCATTATAAGCATCTTGTGATTATTAATATAAATCTCAAAGCCTGAATAAACATTTGTCGTTAACTCCTATAACCAATCTTTGTAGGCCACCTTAGTCTACGTAAGCGTTTGTCTCCAATGGAAGTCTTTTCACCACTTTACCCTCCCTCTTCTACTTCCATGAATGTTTAAACTGTCAGTGATTTTTTTCTGGAACTCTCTTTTAGCCCTATAACCATTATGCCAAAGTCTCTCTTCCCAGAATCACCATGTTTTCATTTGTGCGAACTGGTGATTTCTTCATTGACTGGATCTTTAATGCCAAATAAGTCCTCTGAATTTCACTTTAAGAACTGAGTGGTTTTTTACTATGACACCTCTTTGTAAACCTTGAAGAACTATACAAAAGTAAGGCATGTAATATTTATTTGGCCATACAAATGCCAAACTCATATCACACACATACCAGTCACACAAATGCTGCATCAAATGTGGCAAAAGTTTTAGCTTCTCTTCCAATCCTCCCACACTCTACGTAAATACCAAAATCATAAACTCTTGTGGGTTTTTTGTGGAGCCTGCCCCAAGTTTCTCTTTCCCTGTCCAAAGTTCTGTACTTTATTTTATAGAGTTTATTAATTAACATATAAAGAATATTCATCAGTTTATACCTTATCATCACCAATTAAAGCACAAAATTAATGACAGCTACATCATTATACCTATAAAGACAAGTAATGACAGTTAATAATAGCTAATGAGTCCTGGTGTGGCCCTGTAGGATAAGCACTGGACGGCTAACTGCAAGGTTGGCAGTTCCAACCCACCAGCTACTCCTTGGAAACCCTATATAGAGTCGCTATGAGTTGGAACCAACTCAATGACAGTTAATGACAACAACAGTGGTTATAGTCATCATTATTGGGCTAAGCTTTATGCCAAGCACATTTCATGCAAATACATCAATGATCTCAACAACTTTCTGTGGCAAGTACTATCACTCTCAGAGAAAACATAGGTTCAGAGAAGTAAAGTAGCTTGTTCAAGATGCGGAAGTAGAAAACCAGAATTTTATTCCAGATCTTTCTTTTCTCTAAATTGATCCTTTTAACCACTGCATTATGCCAACATATTGGAAGAAATATACACTTCTTGAGGGGTCCACTGTCTCTGTCCTGTCCTTTGCTCCCCATCCAGACAATATAGGTAAGTCAGTCTAGGAACAATAATATCATTCTAGAAACAACCTCTTTCAAAAATGGGATTATACTATATCAGCATATAAAAACAGTATATGGTACATTGTTGTTGTTGTTGTTATGTGCCATGGAGTTGTTTCCGACTCATAAAGATACTGTACAGGGTTTCCGAGGCTGTAAATATCTACGGGAGCAGAAAGCCTCATCTTACTCCTGCAGAACAGCTAGTAGTTTCGAACTGCTGACCCTGAGGTTAGCAGCCCGATTCATAACAACTACATTACCAGAGCTCCTTATATGGCCCATAGGATTTACAAAAAGGAGTTAATAAGCATTTGATTAATGATTGAAGATGTGCATGAAGTACAGATAGTTTGTTGAATTTTTAATTTTGAGATTAAACCTATAATATTAAGTGTGTCCAAGAAATCAAGGTACGTTACCAATATCTCTTAGGGAGGAGAGTGAGATCAGAAACAAGAAAAAGTCTTTGTACCTGGTGAAACATGGCCAACAAGTTGAGTTTCTTCTCTCAAAGTATCACAGAGCTCTTGCCACAGCTTCTGGGCAAGATTGTTCAGACCAAGGAAGTTGGGAACCAAAGTAGCAAACTTCTCCACAGGACTACTTGCCACGTCTCTGAGCTCTTCCCAAACAGCATTTCTGACACCAACAGCATAAAGCAGGATGCCTGCTCTCCTCAGTGCCTCTGCAGCTTCAGAAACATAGTCCTCAGAAGGGCCATTGCTGATCACAATGGCAACCTGAGGTACTCCTTGCTTTGCACGGCTCCCTGCTGTTTCCTGGAAGTGGTGATCTAGGATGAACTGCAAGGCCAGGCCTGTCTTCCTGCCCCCAGGCTTAAATGGAAAGTTCTTAATGTGGTTCAGCACATCATTCTTGTGGAGGTAAGTGGAAAGTAGGAACTCTGAGCTGGGTGCATCACTGTACTGGGCCAGACCCACGCGGATGGTCTCTCTGCCAACATTGAAACCAGTAACCATAGACGACAAGAATTTTTGCACATGGCGGGCCTGTTGAGGGTTGATGCTGGTGTCCACCAGAAACACGATATCTCCCACAGAATCCTTCCTGCAGACTGAAGAAGAGAAAAAAATTAAAGAATTGACAGTTCTTGGCTGGAATTCATCTCCTCAGTTCAGCTCTTTCATATTATCCAGATCCACTCATGCCCAGAATCTACTCTTGCTCACCTGTCACCCTCTGTACCATTCTAGCACACATTTAACTTCTTCAATTAGGTCCTTGCCCCTGCCCCTCCACTTACCCCTTAAACTTAAAACAGAAACCAGCTTTCCATTAGTTGCAGATGTTGGTAGTCAAAACCTAGGTTCTCTTTACCAACTAGCATACCCATTCCCATTGTTTCAAGTGCTCCAGCTAGCCATTCACATCTGTGGCTTTCTCCAGAGATCTGGCCTTGGTTAGAGGGAGTGACCTCATCAGGAGCTGCATCCTTGCTCACCTTCTTCCCCTTCCCTATCTCACTTCCCTTGCTCCCTTATAGGTTTGTCCTAAAAAGCATTCCTTCAAAGCAGCACGTGCACCTGAGTCCCTATCCCAGACTCTGCTTGTAGGGAACCTGACTTTGACCTCTGACAATTCTTGGATCAAATATCAACATCCAAGGAAGCAGCAGTCTAGAGATCAGACGACGCATTGCATTAGGCAAATCTGCTGCACAGGAACTTTTTAAAGTGTTGAAGAGCAAAGATACCACCTTGAGGACTAAGGTACGCCTGACCCAAGCCATGGTATTTTCAATAACCTCATATGGATGCGAAAGCTGGAGAGTGAATAAGAAAGATCGTAGAAGAATTGATGCCTTTGAATTGTAGTGTTGGAGGAGAATACTAAAAGTGCCATGGACTGCCAAAAGAACCAATAGATCTGTTTTGGAAGAAGTACAACCAGAGTGCTCCTTGGATGGCTAAGCTTCGTCTCTCATACTTTGGACATATTGTCAGGAGGGAACAGTCACTGGAAAATGATGTCATGCTGGGTAAGATGGAGGGTCAGAGAAAAAGAGGAAGACCCCCAACAAGATGGATCAGCTAGGTGGCATCATTGATGGCATCGAGTGTGGCGGTGGTAGTGAGGTTGGCCCAGGATCAGACATTGTTTCGTTCTGCTGTGCATGGGGTCGCTATTAGTCAATTCCGACTCGATGGCACCTGACAACAACAACAACAATTCCTGTACACCACAAGCCTCTTTTAGTTTGATGTTTGGCATTCCCTAAGTGTGGCTTTCATTCATCCTCAAATTCTCTAAATTCAAGGTTGCACTTTACAACTACTCCCTAGCCCCAGTTCTAGTCCTAGGAACCATTGTCCCAACAGTGGCCAGACCAGTAGTACCCAGCCAGGCCCACCCCAGTCTCCACCAGAAAGGCTCATATAGCAGATAGCTGCAGGACTCAGGAAAATAGCATAATCCCTCAGCTTCTCAGAGTGTTCCACTCTAGAATGAGAGGTTGACCTGCTGTCTTCCAGCTCAAATTTTATTTTTCTGTGACAAGAAGCAAAATATAGATTAAGTGCAGTGCTTGTGTGAACAAAAAGAAACAGAAATTATTAATGATTTGTTTCTTTCTCAGCAGCCACTATGATTTCTCCCCCTGTAGCTCCCAATTTACCCCGTACATCCCAATTTAATTATCTGTGATGGTGGAAGGAAAGCATAAATTAGTGATTGCAAGAGAGACAAAAGTAGAAACAAACTAAAAATGGTTTTAAGTGTCTGAGAGCTGAGGGGTTAATATCTCACACTGAGTAAGCACAACTTGCATCTGGTTTGTGCCAGAAGGGGGTAAAATACTTGCAGGGATAGGCCCTGCCCTATTTCTTTAGCCTGTTATCTCGCTGCCTTCTTCTCCGCCTTGGTTTCTGTGTTCCCGACTGCTTAGTCTAGTTTCTCAAGTTCACCACATCCGTCTTATAACGGGGCTTCAGCATGCTGTCATTTCCAAGTTTCTCTTTTCTTTCTTTCCTCCTTTCTGTCTTTCTTCCTGATTCCAAGCTCTTCTTCATATAATCCATCTTGTCAGATTTTTTGCTGAGCATACAGATTGAATTAAGTGTGGTGAGAGGATACAACCCTGGTGGACAACTTTCATTATTTTAAATCATTGAGGATCCACTTGTTCTGTTAAAACAACTGCCTCTTGTTCTGTATACAGGTTCCTCATGAACACAATTAAGTGTTCTGGAACACCCATTCTTTGCAATGTTGTCCATAGCTTGTTATCATCAACATAGTCAAAAGTCTTTGCATAGTCAATAAAGCACAGGTAAACATCTTTCTGGTACCCTCTGCTTTCAGCCCAGATCCATCTGACATCACCAGCGATATCCCTCAATCCATGCCCTTGTCTGAATCCAGCTTGAATTTTTGTCAATTCCTGTTTTGTAATTGAAAAGTCCGTTTTTAATTATCTTCAGTAAAATTTTACTTGCATGTGCTATTAATGATATTGTTCAATGAATTAGCATTCCATTGGGTCATCTCTCATGGGAATGACCAAAAAATATGGATCTCTCCCTATCAGTTGGCCAGGTAGTTGTCTTCCAAATTTCTTGGTATAGATGAGTGAGTGCCTTCAGTGTTATTCTGTTTGTCGAAAGATTTTAATTTGTATTCTATCAATTCCTAGAGACTCGTTTTTTTGACAATGCCTTCAGAGTTCCTTGGACGTCTTCCTTCAGTACCATTGGATCTTGATTATATTCTACCTCTGGAAATGGTTGAATAGTAACCATTTCTTTTTGGTACAGTGACTCTGTATATTGCTTCCACCTTCTTCTAATGCTTTCTGCATCATTCAATATTTTGCCCAGAGAATCCTTCAATGTTTCAAGTCGATGCTTGAATTTTTCCCTCAGTTCCCTAATTTTGAGAAATACTGAGTGTGTTCTTCCCTTTTGGTTTTCTAACTCCAATTCATGCACATTTCATTATAATACTTGGCCTTTGAAATCTTGTATTACCTCCTAATTTTTTCCATTCTCTTTAGCATTTCTATGCTTGAGAGCAAATTTCAGAGTCTCATATGACACCCATTTTGGTCTCTACTTTCCTTCTTGTCTTCTTTATGATGTTTTGCTTTCCTGCTGTATGGTGCTCTTGATGTCATCTCTCAACTCTTTTGGTCTTTGGTCATTAGTGTCTAATGCATCAAATCTGTACTTGAGACAGCCTCCAAATTCATTTAGAAGATGTTAAAGTTCATATTTTGACTCTCATGCACTTGTAAATTTTTTCTTCATCTTTAGACTGAACTTGTATCAGAGCAATTGATGGTCTATTTCATAGTGTGCCTCTGGCTTTGTTTTGACTGATGATATGGAGCTTTTCTATTGTCTCTTCCCACAGATATAGTCAATTTGATCTCTGTGAAGTCCATCTGGTTAAATCCATGTGGTTTTTAAAAAGGTATTTGCAATTAATAAGTCTTTGATTTTGCAAAATTCTATCATGCAGTCTCTAGCCATATTTTCCAATTACTGATCCTTCTTCTTTGTTTCCAGTCTTCACATTCCAGTCACCAGTAATTAGCAACATATCTTGATTGCATGTTTGGTCAATTTCACACTGAAGAAGCTGGTAGAAATCTTCAATTTTATCATCATTGGCTTTCGTGGTTGGTGCATAAATTTTAATAATCATGGTACTACCTGGTCTTCATTGTCGCATATGGCTATTGTCTTATCACAGACAGTATTGAACTTTAGGATAGATCTTGAAATGTTCTTTTTGATGGTAAGTGCAATGCTGTTCTTCAATTTAACATTCCCAGCATAGTAATTCATATGATTGTCAAGTTCAACATGGCCTATCCCAGTCCATTTCAGCTCACTAATGCCTAGGATATAGATCTTTATGTGTTGCATTTTATTTTTGACCACTTCCAATTTTCCTCAATTCATACTTTGTACATTCCATTTTCTGATTACTAATGGGTATTACTGCTGTTTCTCCACATTTAGAGTTGTGCACCATCAGCAAATGAATGCCCTGAAAGCTTTACTCCATTCGTATCATCATGGTCAACTCTATTTTGAGTGCCTTCTAACCTGAGGGTCTCATCTTCCAACTTTATATCTGATAATAGTCTGATGCTATTCATAATGTTTTCATCTTTTGGCACTATATCTGACTATATATTTCACTGTTACTCATAAGGTTTTCAGTGGCTGAATTTTCAGAAATAGTCTACATCTCCTTTTTCTTAGTCTTTCTTAGTCTGGAAGCTCAGCTGAAACCTGTCTACCATAGGTGTACCTTGTTGTTGTTGTTGTTGTTATGTGCCATCGAGTCGGGTCCAACCCATAGCGACCCTGTACGGGGTTTCCGAGGGTGTAAATCTTTACAGGAGTAGAAAGCCTCATCTTTCTCCCGCGGAGCGGCTGGTAGTTTCGAACCGCTGACCTTAAGGTTCACAGCCCGATTCGTAACCACTACGCTACCAGAGCTCCTTATAGGTGTACCTTGCTGGTATTTAAAATACTGGTAGCATAGCTGCTAGCATCACTGCAACATCCAATCCAGCACAGTATGACAAACTGAGAGACGAGTGGTAATATACTATCATAAAGAAGATTAAGTTGCTTACTCTTGCTATTGGATCATAAAGTCAAGTGGAACCATCATCAGGGAGAATAGGCTGCCAATAAATGAGTTTCAAGCCCTTTAAGATTTATTTCCTTTCTGATACCCAAAGTGCTGTGCTACGGGGAGGAGAGTATTCAGTGAGTGTTCCAGGAATGGCTGACTGGTTTATTCCCTTAACTTCTTTCCCGAGAGATCAAAGTCAGTCCACAAAGCGTTTCCCTGATTCTTTTCAGTCATTAGCAAAGACCTCACAACCATACAATATTTTTCAGGCTCATAGATATTGCTTTCATCATGCTCAATTTGAGAGATGTATCAGATGTATTACATTTTCATACATTGCTTCTTTCTTAACCATTACCTCCATTAGTTCTTTGCAATTTTAAAAGGTGTTCAAAACATAAAAAGACTGACTGCCGTAATTTCTATTCACAAGTGAGGGCAATCTGATAAGACTGTAGAGAACTTCATGTTTTGTCTTGCTTTGTTTTGTTTTTTGTTTTTTTTCTCCCCAAAAAATAATAGTCTATGACCTTGTATTTGAATATTTAAACCTCAATATTTTCTCAGTGAGGATTTAGGCTATTCAATCTTCTCTTGATGAGACTTTCATCTTGAGAAATACCTACAGTCTATTTGAATGACAAAAAAATTTTTTGCAACAGCAGCAGTGTCACTAGCATTCAGTGAAGTGATCCATCTTGTGGTGACAATTACTCTCCTAAAAACCTTGTCAAAGAAGATAAATAAACACAGAGTTGGTAGTATAGGGGCATGTTTTATAAAAGCATTTGAGAGCCTGGTAAAGCATTCGGAGGTATAGAACTTGGTGCTATCACTTTTTTGTCAGTTGAGGTGGTTGTTGTTAGCTACTATTGGGCCGCACGGCAACTCGACTCTTGGCGACTCCATGTGTAGAACTGGAGTCTAGGTTTGGATAAGCAGTGGATCACAAAGTCAGTTTGAATCTCAAGGTTGGAAGTTCAAACCTATCTGCCATTCCTTAGAAACCCTATACAGGGCTGATATGAGCAGGAACTGACTTAATGGCACTTAACAACAACAATCTTTACAAATGTAGGTCACAGTGCCTTTCTTTCGAGAAACCTCTGGGTGGATAAAAACTGTCAACTTTTTGGTTGGCAACCTATCACAAATGACTTGCACCACTCAAGCTTCTGGTTTATTTGGGGTTAAGATTTGAGGGGGAAAAAAATCAGTATCTACCATTCAAAGTGGTTACTAATCAGGCTGTGAACCTCAAGGTCAGCAGTTCGAAACTACTAGCTGTTCCGTGGGAGAAAGATGAGGCTTTCTGCTCCTGTGAAGATTTACAGCCTCGGAAACCCTATACAGGGTCACTATGAGTCGGAATCGACTCCACAGCACATTACAACAACAACAACCATTCATAAGGAGTCCTGGTGTGGCGCTGTAGGGTAAGCTCTGGACTGCAAGGTAGGTTTGAACCACAAAGTTTGTGGTTCAAACTTACCAGCTGCTCCTTGGAAACTCTATAGAGGGTCACTATGAGATGGAACTGACTTGACGGCACTTAACAAGAACAACCACTCATAAAATCTCCCAGATTCTGACTAAATTCCCCTTAAAAGAATCATTTCCCTTTTGTTAATGATGAAGCATCTGCATATTTTCTTTTGAGATTGTTATTACATTAGGTTCCTGGCATGGTCATCATTTTTGGCTTAAAGAATTAGATGTATTACCAGTTTTCTGTGATTTCATGAAGTCAAAGTGAGCTGCAAGGAAGATGATCCCCCAAAATATGTTCCAAGTCTTCATTGTAGTTGTGTATCTAAAAAGAAAAAGAAATTTCAGAAGTACAAAAAAAAAAAAAAAGCCTTTATACATTTAAAATGAAAGCATTATATTATGACAATCATACTGCAATAAGTTGGTTGTGAAAAAACTGAAGTCTTTACCCAGATCAGCAGAAGCTTTACAAAAAATAAAGGAGGAGAGGTTGTCACATTGTTTCTAATGTACATGGGAAATGGTCTTGCTGACCCAAGTCAGGAAGAATTTAATAAACACCCAGTGCATACTTCAGCCTCCACTGTTTAAAGTTGTCCCGATAAGGCTATAAAAGGGAAAAAAAAAACACCAAAACATATAGGGCATGGGGTAGAACTTCTGTTTCACATGCTGAATTCATTTCGTGGAACATAAACATACCTACATGGTTTTCTTCAAGAGTTGGGTGACCCAATAAACATTTGTGGCTGTATGCAAAAATACTCAAATAGCTCAGGAGCACATCTGCCTGATAAAAATCAGCCTAGCCTGAAAATGTTTTACAAGTTCCCAGAAGGCACAGAACATCAGATTTCCTCTAAACTTCTATCCATTTCTAAAGACCTCTATGAAAATGATGTACTTTCAATTCTTGTTTAAATATGATAGTAACTAAAGAGCAATTGCTTGGAATGACATGTTCCAAGTGGAACAGGAAATACCTCAACCCAATCTTAGTCAACCCATCTCAGAGCCATTCTCAGTCCAATGTGTTATTTTATGCATTCAAGTCTATTCCAACTCCTAATGATTCCCAGATCCATTATTTGAGAGATGATCTTGGTCAAGATGCTTCACTTCCCTGAGCCTCAGTTTCCATATTTGTAAAATTGGGGGCAGAAATAGCTCTTGCCTCATAGAGTTGTTCTGAGCATTTAATGAATTCATTCCTGTAAATCACTTTATCCATGCCTGGAACATAGAAAACACTATGCAAGTGTTTGTTAGGCAAAACAAGTTGGCTTAGAACCCCAATATGTAAAAGAGAATTCCTCTAATCTGAAACTCAGAATCTCAGATGAGCACTCACTCTTTGTGTTGTATATTAATAAGATGGCTATTTTGTTTCATGGAGTCCTGGTATCTCACTATAGGATAAGCGCTGGACCACAAGGTCGGTGGTTCAAGCTCACCAGCCACTCCTCTGAAACCCTATACAGAGTAGTTATGAGTTGGAACAGACCGGACAGCACTTAACAACTACAATGATTTAATTTAATTTAATTTAATTTAATTTAATTTAATTTAATTTAATTTTGATTGTTTGCTTTCATTCATTCACTTCATTCGATCTTCACTTTCAGCTGATTGCTGCTTTGAAAGCTTCTGTGCTAATATCTCCATGTTTGTCACCCCATATCTGAGACAAAGCAGGAGAATAGGATTTAGTCTGCTCTTTTTGCTGCTATACATAAAGGAAAGCAGCTCCTGAAAGGTGAGCATGCAAGGGTTACAAAGTCAAGTACCAGCCAGGCCAGCCTCTGCCCCAGCCTCTAATTCCAGGTTCGCAACACCTGATTGGACCTCTAATATGCTGCAAACTCTCCAGTGAAAATCTTCAAATCCAGACTGTCCCTCAGCAACTGAGAGTCCACCTATGCAAAATGAAGGCCTCAGAAAAATTTACCCTGGAGGAAAAATACATGTAAACTCAAGCCTTAAATTCTTTTATTCACCAGTTAAGTCTTCAAAGAGCTCAATTCTGTGTCCAAAACATTGTCGGGTGCTGCAGAAAATGGCATTATAAACATGACTTCCATGTTTAAAGTAATGAGCAATCTGTGCAGAAAAACATTACCCACAGGAGACAATAAGAAATTCAGTAAATTCTGAAGTGTATACTTTAAATTTAACAAAAAGTTTAAGCAAGAATCTCTACAATGTCTAAATCACTTCCCTGTCTTGAGCCCTTTAAGTGGACTGTTGTGTGGAAATTCTCATTGCAATGCCCAGCACAAAGCAAACCCAACTATTGAGTTCCTTTTTTAGAAAGTGTAAATGTCCCTCCCTAAAGAAACACCTCTTTACTATGCATGCTTAATTTACTTCTCAAGAGGTGAGAGAATCACACCTATTATATTATTTATGCCAACTGAAAATACTGGACAAACTTTTTATTTCAAAGGAATCCTATAAGCCTTGACTCTGGTTTCAGTTGCCCATTTGACCTAACTGGGTTTGTATGATGACTCTAGAGGGCTTACTGCCAGTTTGAGATACCTCCCATGCTGCCCACTTCATAACAAACATTCACCCAGGGTATTGATCTAGTGGAATTCCAGTAAATAGATGTGAGATCATTTGATTTCTCTGTTCCTCAGTCTCCCTCTAATTCCTCCTCAGTTCTTGTTGTTGTTAAGTGCCCTCGAGTCGGTTCCGACCCATAGCAACCACCGACCTTGCAGTTCAAACGACTTTGCAGTTGTGACACATTAACCCACAGCGCCACAGCAGGAGCCCTCCTCAGGGAAATATATAAATAACTTGAGGGGAGGTATTTTAAGACTTTAATAATCATATTCCTCAACAGATTTTCACCCAATGGTAAAATAAATGAATGTGTGACTCTTAAAGAATAAATGGTTCTAATGGGTTAAGGATAATATGATGGTAAAGAATTTGAGAGTTTTCAAGTGCCAGAAAAAATGATTAAAAATAAATAACACATTATTATTATTGTTGTAATGAAAGCTCGCACTTCAATTTTTTTTAATTACTGAATTAGTATATTCAGATTAAAAGTAGAATCTTCAAGTGAGGTATCTGCATTTTCATATTCCATTATGCCTTAATTATTACTATTTAATGCAATTAGTCATGAAAAATGAGAAATACTTTTAGCTAGTTGTAAATAATAGACAGGATCTATTTATGGAAATCTAGTGGGAAAGTTAAAGGAGCTCTGGTAGCGTAGTGGTTACAAATCGGCCTGTGAGCCGCAAGGTCAGCAGTTTGAAACTACCAGCTGTTCCACCGGAGAAAGATGAGGCTTTCTGCTCCTGTAAAGATTAAAGCCTTGGAAACCCTGTATAGGGCCGCTATGAGTCAGAACCGACTCCATGGTACATAACAACAACAACAGTGGGAAAGTTAAACGTTTATAAACATATTGCAGCTGTGCATGAATTAATACTGAATTGAAAAATGTCTATAGATTAAGGATTTAGTATTCTCCAATATATATACTGCTTCATGAAGGTATTTATATCTGATTCTAGTTGCCAAAGGAGTTTTGCCTTGGAACATGTAGGACTCTCTGTGAAGAAAAGAAAAAAACAAAGCCATTGTATGACATAAAATTAGATATAGATAACATAGGATACTAAAGAGTTCCAGTAGTGTAGTGGTTACGAGTGGGGCTGCTAACCTCAAGGTCAGCAGTTCAAAACTACTAGCTGTTCCACAGTAGAAAGATAAGGCTTTCTGCTCCTGTAAAGATTCATAGCTTCAGAAACCCTATATAGGGTCACTATGAATCAGAGCCAATTCCATGGCACATCATCACCACCACCACCAGGATAAGATACTAGTTCTTTATGAAAATTACTCTAATAGGTTTGTAATAGAGGGAGATGTCTCTCAAAGTGTGTTGCTCAAATCATTAACTCACTAGAACAATCTGTGGAAGGTCCTTGGATTGTACAACTACTAACCTAAAGGTTGATGGTTTGTACTTACCCAGTAGCACCAAAGAAGAAAGATCTGGAGATCTTCTTTTGTGAAGATTACAGTCAAGAAAACCCTATGGAGCAGTCTACTCCGTAACACAGAGTCACCATGAGTTGTAATATAGCTTCAATGGCAGTGGGTTAAAACAACCTACAGTTGACCCTGAACATTTCAGGGGTAAGGAGTGCTGACCTCTATACAGCTGAAAAGTCATGCATAAATTCTGACTCCCCGAAGCTTAGCTTCTAATAGCCTACTTACTATTTACTGGCAGCCTTTATAATAACAAGCAGTGGATTAACAATTATTTTGTATGCTATATGTATTCTGTGGAGTCCTGGTGTGGCTCTGCGGGTTAATGCATGAACTGCAAGGTCAGTTTGAAACGCAAGGTCGTTCAAGCTCCCAAGCTGCTCCATGGAAACCCTATACAGGATAGCTGTGAGTTGCAGCTAACTCAATGGCACTTAACAATAACAACAGAAGTATTCTATACTGCACTCACATAAAAACAAGGTTTTCGTGTCAGCTGGCATAGTGCAACAACAGCTGCAAACATTTACTTTCTTCTTTTACAATAGTCCTTACATTGGATTCATTTATCTTGAAATGGCATACAACTGCCACTGCAGACCTCAGTCTACTCTACTTATCAAGCAATTCAACTTGTTCTTGTAATGTCATGGCTTTCTCTGCTTCTTGGGAACACCTCCAGCATCACTAGCAGAACTTCAAATGGGTCCCATGGTATTAATCAAGGCTTATCGTGTCGCACTGTTGTTAAGTGCCATTGAGGCGATTCCGACTCATAGCGACCCTGTATAGGATTTCCAAGGAGTAGGTGGTGAGTTTGAACCACTGACCTACAGTTCAAACTAACCTTGTGATCCAGTGCTTATCCTACAGTGCCACACGAGGACTGTATTGCACTAACCATGAAAAATACGTGAGAACCATGGGAGATTGTTTTTACCGAGATACAAATGTGCATGGAAGAGGAACTGCTCATGTGGAGGTGATTTTGCATCATGTGACTTTTTTTTATATCTTCATATAAATGGACCCACACAGTTCAAACTCAAGTTGTTCAAAGGTCAACTGTATTCCTTGGGATTCATTCATTCAATGAAAAAAATGACTTGGCAACCACGATTTGTTGTTGTTAGTTGCCGTAGACTCAGTCCCAACTCATGGCAACTCCATGTGTGCAGAGTAGAACTGTTTCATGGTTACAACTACAGTGCTCACCCAAACCAAACCCATTACTGCCATCAAGTCAATTCCAGCTCATAGTGACCCTATGTTGTTGCTAAGTGCTG